AGAATAACTATATTTGGCTCTCTTCTCTGAGGTAATCACCATCTTCAAATTGTTATGTCACCTGCACAAGAATTTTTTTTATATGTTTATGTGACTATAGCCACAAAAGACATGTGTGGCATATTTTAAAATATGACCTAAGTATTGTATTGTTTCAATTGCCATTCTCTAGCTTGCTTTTATTTTCTTTTTATATTTGATAGAAGTAGATCCCACTGATTCTTTTAAGTTACTGTATAGCATTTCCTTATTGGATACAACACAGCTCTCATAGGTATCTCTGGGGTACATGTGCAAATGTTTCTCTATGATATACACGAAAAACGAGCTTGCTCATTGTGAGGTATATGAAACTTTACATTTACCATGTATTAGCAAATTGTTTGTGGCTGTTCATTTATATGTATTCTCACCAATGTTTGATATTCACTGTTATTTTCCCCCCAGCCTGATGAATGTGAAATGGCAGCTCATTGCTGCCTAAATCTTCATCACCCAATTACTGACAGGGTTAAACAACTTGTTACAGGTTTACGGATGATTCAAGCTTCCACGTTAGGGATTATTTACAGACTTAGATCATTTTTCTATTTTTTTCTTCTTCATAAATTTATCTAGGAATTGTTTTTTTAAACAGGGATACCCTAAAGTTTAACTTTGCCTTCAGTATTCAGAGACAATATGATGCTTAGTTTCAGCCTAAGCCTCAGACTTTGAAAGACAAAGTAACAAAATAACTCTTTCTAGCACCTTGGTCACCTGCCTGCTCAATGGCAGTGCCATCACACACATTTCCATCATCTCTAATCAGCTCAATGGTATCACAGATATGAACAAGGTGTGGTCCTTGAATCAATTGTTAACATCTGAATATTCATTAAGATCCATTTTCAGATCTAGGCAAGATTTCTTGATACAACTTGGAATGAAACCTCCATGAGCTAGGCTTCTTTAGGCAGTTGAAGTATAAGCATATTTATTTATTACAATAATAAAATTATTAAAATAATTAATGTTGATTTTGAAAGCTGTTAATTTGGAGTACAAAAATTATTAAGAACTTTCAAATAGTTAAACAATATTAGTAGTTATTATGAATAAGAGAGTGCATTAGATAGATAACATTAACAAGAACATAATATCCGTTTTGAGCCAGCAAATGTTTATAAAAATTTAAATGCTAATAAAAAGCAGGATAATAGAAATTAGATTATATCACAATGCTAATCTTTAGAAGCATAAAGAGCTATATTTAATTTTTAGTTATTTAATTCAGCTTAGGCCAAGAATCTTTAAAGAAAAAAAGTCCTATTTGAGAAGACTTGATATCCTGTAAGGATGAATTAAAAGCAGATTTTCAACTTTGTCACCTCTAAATGTCATGAGCAGGAAAAACTGCAAAATCATGTGCAACAATATCCATGATAAGTCATTCCTGATCTCGACATGGTGGAGAATATAGAGTATAAAGACTAGAAGAAAGAGTGGAAGGGGAACAAAATAGCTCAAACGAATGTTTTTCTCCCTCATCCAACTTCAAAATAGCATTCTTTAAAGGTACACTTTCACAAGATTATTCCTTATCCCCCTTTGAGACTATGGAGGCCAGAATTTTAAGCATCTCTGAAATGATTTTTAGAGAGGATTTTCAATATCTGAAGTTGAAAGATTTTTGAGACATGCCCAAGCTTCAAAGAAAAAGTCCTTCAAGAAATGTTACTGATTTTTTGCCCCTGAATTACTTTCTGGTATGTGTAAATATTTTAGTGATGTTATCACATGTCTGCTGTAAGTAAACTTCACTTTTTGTGTGTAAGTGTGACTGGAGAAGCTGTTAGTAGCCAGTAGGACGAGAAATGATTGTTCTGGTTCCATAATGTCAAACTTTTAAAGTTGACCATTCACATTCTCAGTAAGTAAATTGTCACACTCATTTACTTTCACCAGGAACTCAGACTTAATGTTATACCTAAGAAATTGATTCTATGATACTTGCATTCAAAGCTGGCCAAATTTTTTTTTTCAGCCACAACGTGTATTTAGTAAACTTCTACCCAACAGATATTATTCTGCTGTTTATTTGTTTTTCAATTACTTTTTTTCCCCATTCTGTTAGCTTACTTTAGGATTTGTCTATGGCATTTTTGGGGTAAACTTCAGCTCTTTGACGATACAATTGCATTATCTCCTGTAACTATTGTAGCTACAGACACTTTGGCTATTGGTGTAAGTTTAATTCTATCACAGATAATCCAGAATCAGTTTGAAATCAGGTCTTACATTGGTAGCTCCAGGTTCCTGCATCCTGGTATGTTGTAGCAGTAATGAAGATTGGTCATCTTGTTACTTTTCTGTTTCATAGTATTCATACAGGGGCCAACATTCTCTTACTATTTCTGGGATTCCTGGGCCCCTGAAAGTAGCACTTCTCCTTTGCCACTTTGCAATTCCATTATACTGAACCTTTTGCACAGTATGATAGGAACACAGCAGCAGTCTGCAATGCTCTGGGTACCAATGCTGTCCATTGCAAAAATGGATAAGAAAGGGGCACCACCTTCCATGCCATGTAGCCCATGTAGGGAGGAATGTAAGAAATAGTTACAAATCAACACGTTTTCATTAAATAAAACGTAGGTATATGTAATTATGATAATTTTTCTGTGTATGTAAATACAGAATCTGATTCCCAACAGATTTGGAAAATTAGCCATTTTTGGTATTTGGTCTGTTTTCATAAGTATCTATACTTGAAAGATTTTAAAAAGCCCTCTGAGAATTTGAGATTTTGCAGGAGCTGGAATCTAGTCGCAGACTGTCCATTCCATCAGGACCTCCAGTCCACTTTCCCTGTGACATTGCTAATCCCAAAGCCAAGGTTGGCTTAGAGCAGCCCGTTCTAGGGCAATCATCCTTTGATACACACTCTCACGTAGCAAACTGTAGGATTGTTTCGCCCCACTCCATTGCACTTGATGGCCCGGTTTACCCTTATAGAGTTTCTACAACAGCCAAGGAGTAGAGGATAGAACTTAAAAAACCTTCTAGAATAAGAGAACTTTCTTATGTCTGATTGATTTCTCACTTACTGCAGTGGGAGCAACAGCAGCTTGGTGTCCTGATAGGGAACTTCAGGGTTTCTAGAAAGCCCATAACTCCTCTGGGAGTATGTGCCTACTTTAAGTTGCCTTCCCCATATCCTTTAACTTGGCCTTTTGCTATCTTTCCATCAGTTATGCAAGTGTCTTGTTTCAGCAATCAGGAAATACCCTAGCTAAATATATGATACCTAATATGATGCCTAGAAGATAATAGATTCTCAATAAGTAGTATGGAAGTAAATATTTCATTGTAAATATAATCAAAATCTTCATCATTATTAGATATGGAAAGAACGTTAAGCATGATGCAATAAAAATTTCAACTGGACAGTGGATCATTTACTTGAGGACTCTCCTTCCCAAGGCGGCATGTTTTCACTTTTGACAGCGTTTACCGTTAGAACACTCTCTTTGTTATTTAGCCAAAATCTGCCTCTCTATCACTCTGTCATTCATCCCATTTTGCCCTATATGTGTTTTCAGAGCAAGTCTAACCCTTTGCCCTACACGGGTCCTTCAAATATCTAAATATAATCATCTTTATCTCTTCTTTATTTCTTTGTTCTTTTGTCATTTGTAATTACAAGACTCATTTCCCATATCTTTAAATTTTATGTGGCTGCCTTCACAGTACACCGTAATCCCCTAATTCTTTTCATGATATGTGTTATTGAGAAGCTAACAGCATCCCTCTTCTGGTCAACCTGCATGAGGACCATGGGATCACCTTCTTCTTTGTTCTTTCCAGACATTGTGCTTCCTAGAGACTGTTTCAGTTTCCACGGACCCCTTATCCACTATAATTTGCCTATTGATCACTAATATTGAGCTTTTGCTTTTCCCGCAATTTTGAACATGACTTTAGTTTTTGCTCCCCATAGTGAAGACCAGTCTTCAGTTTGCATAGCAATGTGTGAGATCCTTGAGAAGAAAGGCAGCTCATTTTTCTCCCCCCCTCCCCTGCGCTTAATGTGTGGCACATCTCAGGTCATCATACATGCTTAATGAATGTGTAGAAATAAACAAATAAATGAAAGACCTAGTTCCGATATAGAAACAATTTGTAATATGTTACTACTGTTCTATACATGCAAATCCATTTTCACTCCTATGTACAGAATTTTATCACTTTATTATTTTTTAATGGACCTAAAATGCACAGAATGGAATTAATCATGCTTTGCAGTTCATGACATACTATTGTCATTGGCCAAGGTCAGACTTTTCATTTGTTTCTATCAAATTTTAGCTTGGTGTCTTGCACCCATTACTTCTGCCTTTTGTAAATTGTATTTTCTGTGATTAGCTATCTCAAACAGCTTTGTATCATTTGCAATTTTGTTAAGCAGAGTAAGAGGATTAAGATATAAGAAACAACAACAAAGAATAGATGATATATTAAGTACTGAATTGTAAGCTACAGACTTTAAATGCTCTAAGAATTTGTCAGAGAGGTAGAGCTCAAGCATGTGAACTAGATAAAAAAAAAAAAAAAGAGTAGAATTGCTGAAAGGTGAGCTGAGTCAAGAAGGCTGGGTGGGATTTGGATAAGTGGAAAAGACACGAATCTGTGAGCAAAGAGAAAATAACAGCTCCCTATGTTTGCCAAAAGAAATGGGGTAGGATATATAAAGGGAAAAGGTAGGGTATTCATTTAGAGAGCTTGAATCAGGATTCCTCTTCCTTATAGCCCTTTCTCTATGAAGGCAGGTAAGTGAGAGATATTGTCCAGATAGATGTGGCATTTTCTTAGAGTGTTCCTATAGTCTTTGTTTTAGAATCTTTGGATTTGTGTTAGAAAGAATATAAAGAAAGAAAAGAGAGGGCGGGTAGCATGCAGAGGAGTAGTAATGATCTCTGTGTCTCTCGTTGCTGTTTACCCCCCTTCTTCCATTCCAGACAGATCCAGCCTTTAGGAAGGACCCCCTTCTACATTTTATCCTAATTCATATCCACCCTCCCAGAGGCCTGAGGACTTTTCTACTTGCTGCCAATGAAGAAGTCACACAGATGGCTACCACATCTGGAGTCTTGGAAATCCCATATTTGGCTAATAGTGTGGAGACCTCATCCTTTAATATTAGATCTTTCCTGATCAACCACTATGATGCTGCCAAGCCTCTTTGATGGTAGACTTCCATCAGCTCTACTGCATCTAACATCATGAATTTTCTAAGTAACATGGTTTTATTCTTCATTTCACATTGATTGATATAATACAGAAAACCAGATTTGCTCCTATTTACTACATATTGTTGTCATCACATAACCCACATTTTAGCTTCACTACTTACATTTCCTTGACCTCACTCTTGTTTTACTTTTATCGCATTATTATTATTATCATGTCACAATCCCCCAGTCTGCCTCCACATCCTGGACATCTTATCTGAGAAACACTGATTTCAATAATTTTGTCTAAAATATGGGCACCAATCTAAACATAGTATTTGAGGTGTGGCTGCAATAAGTAAGAATTGACTAGTCAAGCTACAGATATTAAATTTTTATTAACATCATGTTTTAAAGCTCCATTTTCTTGGGCAACTGGGTGACTCAGTCAGTTAAGCATCTAACTTGGGCTCACAGTCTGTGAGTTCAAGCCCCATGTTGGGCTCTGTGCTGACAGCTCAGAGCCTGGAGCCTGCTTCACATTCTGTCTGTCTGTCTCTCTCTCTCTGCCCCACCCCTGCTTGCACGTGCTCTCTCTCTGTCTCTCAAAAATGAATAAACATAAAAAAAAATGTTTAAGCCCCATTTTCTTTATTGCATTGCAGTTATATTGTATCACATTGTGTGAATAATTTGCAAATGATAGATTAATAAAATTACCAAAGAGTTTCCACATGGCTTTGTATCTACATATGGAAATATTTTCAACACTAACGATAAGAAAAGACTTGGCATATATATGTTCTTTTCAGTTTACCACACTCTCTTGTCTATACTCCAAACCAAGATTCTGATGTTGAGTTTGTGAATTATGTAATGGTTACATAATCAGACCCCACATGGTTTCAGAAGTAGATGAGTCTCATCCAGATTTCTGATTCTCTCAGGGCACAGATTTCTGATTCTTTCAAGGCACTGTTGGAGACATTTGATAACAGAACATTGTGATAGTTTGTTTTCTTTCATCAAAAATTCCCATACAGGTTTTAGATACATACATTCTATGTAGTCCAATGCATGATAAGGACGGAAATGGACTTTTAGAGGCTGTTCTGTTAAGCATAAAATAAAACATAATGATAAAACATTCCTAATGTTTATGTATTTCCTTGACATCTAAAGTAGCTATTCAACATTTGAGAATATTCAAAATACCACTCAATAGTTTGTTTCCATGTAGTGCAAATTCTTACTTTCCAGTACACAATTATAGTAAAAAATACATAAGGCTGTATTTTCTGGATTTGATGAAGCTGGAGTGAAATATTTTTAGGTTTTGTACCAATCAGGTGCTTCTTTATAAACCTGATTTTTAATTAAATTATGTGAGGGAAGTAGAAGTGTACAGAGAATCTATTTTGCTGGGGTGCATCAAAGCAGAGTTGATGGGGAAGGGGTGGCATTGACTCTAGCTTCTGATTCAGAAACTACCTGCTCTTGACAGAGGTAGAGTGCTTCAAGTGTGATTTTGGGAGGTCAGTTTAGAGTCTATTTCTTTCTACCTAAACTAGAGTGAATTGTGTTGTCTGCAACAAGAACCTTGTCCATTATAACCATCTGCGATGGATCTATTGCACATTAATTTATCAGAAACAATCTTAAACACGTGCCTGTTTTACCTACTTTGGGATTTAATACATTATGTTCCCTACTAGAAAGGTAAATATATGACTGTTTTTTCTCTATAATGCCATCAAAATTTAATGAGACATACAGAATAATTTACACATTTAAATCCATAAAATATGGACTAAATCAAAGAATTTAAAGAAAGGGATTGGATAATGTTTTCATTACAAGTATACTTTGCTTCTATTACCCTACAACTACAACCTAATCTTTACATTAAAAATTTTAAATATCACGGTTCTCTTCAAGCAATAATTATTACATGCACAAGTGGACACAGTTATATGAGGTAATTAGACTATACTAAAGTAATCTATAAATTAATCAATAATCATTGATGGAGCACTATTGTGCGGCAATCTTGGCTAGGTACAAGTAGCCCTATACATCATCCACTTTACATTTCAACTAGAATATTCAATATACGGAAAACCATAGTTGTGGGGAAACCACTACTAAAAGGAGAAGCGTTTACCATCCTGAAGTAGCAGAGGAAGATTCTTGCATGGCTCCATTACTTATAAATTTCATGCTTTGAGGGCAGTATCCTGAATATCAACCTTGGCATTTTTAAACCAAGAAAGACGTAAGACAATATTTGAAATACCACTGTATGTTCTAAAATGGCTTTTCCCCAAATCACTCACCTGCAGATACTTTAAACTGCAGTTCTAGTCCAATCCATTTTTGGGGCCAATCTTGGCCCCCCAAATTGAGATTGTTATATTATCATCATGAAGTCACAATGGGGAGTGTGATTGTCCTCAATTGCCAATGGCCCTGTACTTGGTGTTTGGGGAGTGAACCTGGGACATCTGTTTGTTTACCAAGCCTCAATATTCACCTAAATACCATTGTATTCACTTGGATTCCTATTCAGAATTTCATTACCATCCCCTGGGGTTTGGACCCCATCACCTCTATTTCCAGCCATGGATGTGACCCTCTGCCAAAGGACCATCTGGAACCACAGTGCTGCCATCCACCTGATTGTCATTATGGCCTCTGCCTGTAACCTCCTGCTATGTGCCCCAGCAGGCAGGCCTGGACACCCTCAGATATGGATATTGGCCTAAATCAAGCCTGAAATAATGACACATCTTGGAGCACTGCAATGGATGCTGCTGGCTCGTCAGGAGCTAATCCAATAAAAATGCTAATATTTATTAAGTACTACCAATGTGCCAAGCACTGCTCTAAATACTTTGGGTATATTATTCCACTTAATTTTATAATACCCCATGAATTATATACTATAATCATTACTATGTTTTTACACACAAGGAAATCTGACCAAGCAGGCTAAGGTAATTTACCCAAAAATGTAGTGAGCCAGGTTTTGGGCCCAAGTACAAGCTCTCAATGCCTAGGCCATGCCAATTTGTGCCTCATCTCCTGACCTGCGTAGTATTGGCTTCAGCTGCATTCTTCCCCATGAGCCAGGGGCTAAGAAATTAGGGATCCATGCATGCTCTGAAAGATATTTATTGCTATGATAATAGAATTAAACAAGGCAACATGTATACAGTACAATCTTTTAAAATTTTAAACCAATATTTTTTCAAAACTCCAGTCATGAATGTTGTTCAGATAACTAAGATTTGCTCTTTTCAGTATCAAAATATTTTGCACTATTTTGGTTTGAAGCTTTCTAATATATTTCACAGCCTTCCCAAAGTAAAACAATGGAATGATGGATAAAAGGTAGTATTTTCTGACTTTGGGAGAAATTATTTAAATTAATATTGAAGATACCTTCTGAGGGTAGATTTTAGGTATTTACCATGTGTTGGTTATTAAAGGTTGTCCTGACTGTTGCCCTGTTCTTGGTTTTATATTAGAAACTGAGGTGTCACATTATGTACAGAAAACATCAATGGTCCTGCCAGTACAAAGTGTGAACTTTGAGGGAAATGTTATGTGTATTTGGCTAGCACACAGTGTTTCTTTACTCTCTCTTCCCTACCCCTCCATCTACTGATCCCTCCCTCCTCACCTACTCACACAGCCTTCTTGTACAGGAGAAAGAATCTCTTATACATTAACAAATTAATCTTTAAGTGTCCCAAACAACTATATTCAAGTAAACATTTTAATGTGAAGATATGAACAGATTCAGAGAGGAGCACATTTTCCTTTCATTGGATTCTTTGTGCATTATGGGTTTTTTCCTACAGTTTTCTTCTTCATCATGACATCAGTGAGCTACAGTGAATCCAGTGGTATCTCCTACATTAGGTTACTCTCACCTTTTTGACATCAAATGGAAACAAGGAATGGGGGTTCCTTTGGACTAGAGCATTCAGTAAACCCCTAGGCCTACATTTAGTTTAGTTAAGAAGCAAATGATGTCCTCGAGGGCCTACTTGGTGCAAAAGGATAAAAGTTTGACTTGAGTTTGGAGGCCAATATCCCAGCTAGTAATAATATATGATTGCCTTAAGTGTTCTTTTTTATACATCTTATCCAATATAAGATGGATTGCAAAAGGAGATAGGCAGCATAGGATTCAAATTCTGGTCATCTTTCCAGTTTGTAAAATAATAGATATCAAAAAATATTGTATTTAATACACACCAGTGCCAAAGGCATACTACAGGCTCATGCAGCAATAGGATGATCCCTGGAAACTTGATGGATTTTAAAAAATTAAAGACCCAGCAGACATGGGCCATGAAATTGACAGGCACATTGGAACATGAGCGTGAGTCACAAGATCATTCTACTTGGGAAAATTTAAATTGAGCACAGGAAGCATTAGCTAATAGAAAACCAAGTTTTTGATCCAAACTGATAAAACAAGTTGAAGGTGGAAGAAGCAGAAAAGAGAGGAACAAGAGACAGAGTTGGTATGGATCTTGACTGTCAGGGAGATTCAATGGTATCTGACAGCATGAAGACCCAGCTATGTTAGGGTTCAGAAGTAAAACAATGAATACTTTCTAAGCAGACTCAATTTCTGAATCTCATAGTACCATGGAGATTAGACACTACCCCTTTGCTATCCCAGCGCCTCCCACATTATATTAAATCATGTCTTTACTTCTCTGTCTACCTAGTTAAACATTTCTAGTTGAGAAATGTGTCTATCTGTCTTCACTTTCTGTATGTCCAGCCCTATTCTTCTGTCTGGAACACGGTAGAGACTCAGTGAGTCAGTGAATGGAAAAGATACTGAAATCCGAACACTGTTGATTCCTTGGAAGCCAGTGGGAATTTGCCTCTTTCTAGTTTTTCCCAGAGCACAAGTGGCCCTGGGATCTGGGACAGGATTAAAACTATAAGCTGGGATAATGAACCCTACTGTGAAGTTTCAGAGTTCCAGATAAACATGCCCTCTCTCCATGGAGAAAGTATACCGTGGCGACATGCAAGAAACAATGAGAAAACACCTACACTCTAGGATGGAATGCGTCTGGATTTGTAAAAGACAGAGTTTAATACTAAGCCCTGAACAAATATTTCCTACATGAACAAATGACCCTGTTCAAAGGGTTTAGTCACTGAAGTGCTCAGAGGAGACATTAGCAGTCCATTGAAGGACAGGCAAGATGTGAAGAGATGGAGAGGAAGGTATGAAGGAAGGGTAGACAGAATCAGAGCCAAACTTAGTAATTCAACACGGCACAGTATTTATTGTCAATGTCCTCCATGGCAGGTGCCATATTACCATGTGGGCAAATTCAGTTCTGATAACTTTTTCCAAAAGTCTCAATTCCCTTAGATGGATGTTTTATGCTAACTCTGTCCTCTATGTACTATGGAATGCCTTAAAAATAAGATTGTCTTATTAAAAACCTGCTTGAGACTTTGGAGCTTTTATATCCTTGGATGGGGATCTAAATAAGGCATAAACTAATCATAAAGAAATACGACTTCTTTTCTCCCATTTTTTTAACCAAGAAAATATTATTGTTACTGTTGCTCCTTGACAAACAGGAAGATTAAACTTGCTCCTGATAAGGAATCTGGAAGTAAATCTTCTGTGGCAGGCAATAAAGAAGATTCTTTCTGGACACACCTCACTCAAACCTTTTCTTTCGACACTCCACTTAAACAAAACTTTTCCCATTGCACCATTCGTTATCACTAACTCAGCAAAGCTGAATAAGGACATGCTCTTCTCCTGGTACTGTGGTGCTTCGTAACACAGCCACTACATTCTTACAACAGGATAGAAGCAGAACTTGAGCTCAAAACAACATGGGTCCTAAGAAAACACCTTGTGATAATTTACATAAGGTTTCGAACAATAAAAGTCTTTTAACTCATTATTTTGCTTTTCCTGAAGGCTTCATATAACACGCGGAATGAAAAATCTGTTTTTAAAAAGAGAGACAGTTCTAATCTCCTGATCTAGGCACCGTTTACTCCAAATTTTCTTAACACATTTGCCTCTGAGAAGTTTGCAAACAAAGGCAAAGACAGACAAAGAACATATGCTAAATTGATCATTTTTGTGTCTGAATATTCACTATTTGAGAGGCAGGAAACTGTTCAATCTGATCTGGGGTATGATTATACTGTAGTCCAAATTGAAGTGTCTGTGGAAATGGATTGGGCGAGCTTCTCGGTTGTCAGTCATATCACTTATGCGGTGCACAGTGAGATGAGGGCACTCATGGGAAACAGTAGAAGTGGTTCTGCACTACACCTAGACAGATGGGTGTTCCCCTCGTGTGAGGAGGAGGCCCTCAGTGCCTCAGCCACCGCCGCAGACACTGCAGGAAGAGCAAGGCCAGCCCTCTGCAATGTTGCAGCGCCACACCACGCCTTGTTCGGGGAGAGCTTCCGAGACGGTGCGGGAGTTGAGATTCTGGACCAACTGTTGTGTTCTTCTCCAATCCAATCAGCAAACAACACATGTCTTTAAGAACTGGGCTGGAGGGGAGGAAGCTTTGCACAAGACACAGCACTACAGTGAGAGAGATAGGATGTAAACACGTAAACATTTAAATAATGAGATTCCTGTAGCACTTTAAGACAACAAAAGAAAAATAAAGTAAATATTTGCTGCAGCAGAGTGCTGTGTAGAAGAGGAGGAATTCTGGTGAGAAATGATGTTTCTGGAATCGATCCTGATCACTTACCAAGAACAATTTAAATCATATCTGTCAGTCTCAGCAAGGGAGGTAAGGACATAATTGGGTTTGCTCTCAGGGCACGGGATGGAAGATTTCCTCTTTGTTTCTTCTTTCCCACCTGTTTCCGTCAATTTTCTCCAGGAAACACACACACACACACACACACACACACACACTCTTGAACCAATGAGGGTGAAGGGGGAGCAAAGAGAGAGATTAAGGAATTAACTCATGTGATTATGCGGACCTGCAAAGTTGAAGTATGTAGGACAGGCCAACAGCCTGGAAACTCAGCAGAATTTCTATTTTATAATTTTGAGGCAGAATTCCTTCCTCTTTGGGAAACCTCAGTTTCACTATTAAGTCCTCTAACTGATTGGATGAGGCCCACACCCATTATTGAGAAACACTACCTTTACTTAAAGTCAACTGATGTAAATGCTAATCGTATCTACAAAATACCTTCACAGCAATATCTAGAGTACTGTCTGATGCAATTACAGAGTATCATAACTTAGCCATGTTGACTTGGAAAAGTAACCATCATAGCACCCATAAAAGGATTCAATAAACACGCACATAAGACATATACCCATACCCATACCCATACACAAA